CGCTCTGGGAGCGGCTCTAGCGCAGCGCACAAAAAAATCACGAAGACCCCCACAACACCTAAGGCCAGCAACACCAGCAGCAACAGCAAGATGAACACTAAGGTGGCCATTGCAGGATCCTCCAACATGGTTCTGTGCCTCGCCCAGAGCATATACCGAGTGCTCAAGTTGCTCCGAGTCAAACATCGCTTTCACCGGTGACGCTCGGGTGGCGCGCGGCCGTGTCGGCTAGGCGCACCAACGACACATCAGAAGACTCATGTGCAATGCCAAATTTTCCATCAGACCAACATGAGACAAGATAAAATGAAAAAAGGTATTTTACATGACCATACCATACAGTACAGTACAGTACAATACAATACGATACAAGCACAGTACAACACAGTACACACAGCACAACGCAATACGCTACAAGACAATGCACTACATTCATTATCATACTATATGATACTCCCTTACTCTAGTTTGCAAAAGTCTTGTAAAAATCTTGCATATCATGATATCTCATATAATGAAAAGAAAAGGCAGACATGCAGGCAAGGAGGTGAGCTCACAGGACCATGCAGGCTCTTTCTGAATCGGTGGTTTGCCTAGGGTACATGCACAGTGGACACTCCTCAGATGCAGCGGCTCAGGTCTTGTTGCCTCTCCCTAGCTAGCTAGGACTGCTTGGGTGTAGGGTTTAGGACTTAGGGTGTAAGTTTGGGGTTTAGGGCCTAGGCTTTAGGGCTTGTTAGGGGAAGGATCCTTAAACTCACCGAAAGCACCGGATCAAAACGCTCAAGTGTCTGCGGCTTTCATGCTGTTGTCCATCTTTCGGTGTTCCTGCCGGGAACTCAATGACGCTTGCGGCTTCTGACTCCTGAACCCTTGAGCTACAAGGTCAAAGGCATCTGGCTACCATGCCATCGCTAGCCGTCAGGCCAAGTGAAAGACTGATGTTGTTTTGCGAAGCTGCTGTAGCTCATGAAGCATTTGTGGCAGGCGGGCGCGGCGGTTCCGCGCACCCTTGCAACCGCTGAGCCCTACAGCCTGTGGACATCGAACGAAACACCCGTGACCTCACTTCCAAACCCATACTCCTTGCTCATTCACAGGTCAACGGTTAAGGTTTGGGCAGACTCTTGAACCCACGGCGGTATGGCGAGAAGCCCAGCCCCCCAGAACTGCAACATCCAACACCTCATGGGACCCGAAACCGCCCGAAATCTAGATCCCCCAAACCCAGAACCTTAAAACCGTAAAGCCCATGTGATCTAAGCCAAGATGCCAAAACAAAAGCAACAAAGGTTTAGGGGTTGGGAGTTCTTGTATGGTAGCTTGGCCACAAAGAATGCTTGCTTCACAAAACCTATAAAGTCACCTGCATAGCCTTGAGCGTTGCCTAGGCTCGTCGGCCGTGCCTCAAAGCCTGAAACCCGTATGAAAGCCATGTAGAACCGTTTGAAAGCCCTGCCTCAAACTCCCTAACCCTTAAGTTTAAGAAGCCCCCTAAACCACAAACCCTAAGTTTAAGAAGCCCCCTAAACCCTAAACCCTAAGTTTACAGAAGCCCCCTAAACCCCTAAACCCAATAATCTCCACTTCCACGCGCTCGCCTGCTTTGACCCAGGCTGCACTTTGTCGGCAACGGGGACTTTTGTGACTGTAAGCCCGAACGGCTCCGCGGGTTCAGAGTCTGGGCTAAGCAAAGCTTAGGATACAGGGTTGGAGTGTGAAGTTTAGGTGTGCGGCTACGGCTTAAGGGTGCAAATCTGGGGATGTTGGGACTTGTTTTGCACCTTGCGTTTGCGACTCACGGCGTTGAGGGTGCGAAGTTGGGTTGAACATCTCGAGTTTCTGACCCTGACTGTGACAATTACAACAGCAAACCTTAAACCCCAAACTCTATAAGCCCTAGACCCCACTAGACTCCAAATCCCAAACCCTAAACCTCGCGACCTCGAGGGTGTCTTTTCAGAGTACGTAAACTCGGACGGAATGTTTACCAAAAAAGGGTGCTAAGTACCTATATTCGGTATACTGACACAAAACATACCATAAATTTCTTCAATTAACGAAATACCTCACCTTGCACGATGCAGGCAAATCGGACCAACCCCATTTGGGAAAGTGCAGCCCCTGAGAAGACATAGGGTAGGCTTCGGCAACAATTAGGGTTTAGGGTTTAGGGTTTAGGGGTTTAGGGTTTAGGGTTTAGGGGTTTAGGGGTTTACAAGACGACAATACAAAATAGATGGCCATAATCACTCGAATATGGTGTCTAAGAGAGATTCTATGGCGAAGTATCGTGCTACATTCATAGGGAACTCTACCAGGAAATAACATAAGGAACTCGTCCTCTGTTGGCAACGTGGATCGGCCCGGGAGCAAGGAGGGTTGGGGGTTAAGGGACTGTATCACCTACCAAGCTACACCTTACATGGCACAACGCCTCAAAGTCTTTTCCCAGGACAGAAATGAAAGTCCGTGGTGGTTTCGGGTTTACGTTCTGATGTCTAATATCAGGGGCATCTACAAGAAAGCCGCAGAAGAAATTGGAACACCGATAGAATCCTGCCCTTCGAAAGAACCCGGAATGCCCCTCCCCCCCCTCTCCTCCCTCTGCTACCTCGGGGCTTACAGTTTGCAGCCCGAAGGCTCCGAATCACTCGCATATGCCTCAGGTGTTTTGGGGCCCAAGCACCAGCGGTTTAAGAGTATAGGGATATGTAACACAGCTCCTTTGAGCCTCAGGACCTGGTGGTCCCTACTGTATCTTAAGCTTTCATCAGTTTTTTCCGGGAGGCTGCGCCTCCCAAACCCTAAAGCTCGTAAGACCTCAACAAGCCAAAAAGACTCCCCCTGAAGTCCCGAAAAGCAAAGCTGCGCCTTCTGCAAACGGCTTCGGAATTCGTCGCCCCTCCCCCTAACTTTGAGCCCGTGCGATGAGGCCATGTATCTGGGGGCCAGGGTTGCTTAGGAAACTCGGAATAGGGTTTAGGGCTTAGGGGTTTAGGGTTTAGGGGTTTAGAGTTTAGGGTTTCTTTTGCCTCCCACCTGGCTAGGTTTAGGGGTTTAGGCTTTCGGTTCTTCTCGGGTAAATCCTAAGCCCGAACCCTAAACCCTAAAACCCTAAACCCGAGCCTGCACCCGAAGGAATCGGCGCTTCAAAAGGAAATCAGGCCCTGCCATACACCCCCGGAGTTTCCGTCTTGCAGGGTTGTGGGTGGGCCTATTTTTTTCAGGGTTTAGGGTTTATAGGGGCTTCGACTTAGGGTTGACGGTTTAAGGTCAGGGGTTCAGGGTGGGTTTAGGGTTTAGGGTTTGGGGTTTGGGTCTAGGGTTTGGGTTTTGGGTTCAGGGTGCGTTTAGGGTTTGGGGTTTAGGGTTTAGGCTGTATGGGTTTGGGGTGTAAGGTTCGGGTACAGGGTCCTGACGGCAAACCTTCGTCTTCAGAACTTCCCTCAGCGCATGCTTGGTCATTCCTAGCATCTGATGCGGACTTCCATTGCACCCAGGGACAAAAACCTACAGAAGCCTGAACCCCAAACCCCATCTTCCTAGAGAGGAAGGGAAGGCCTTTTAACACCCTGCATCCCTGAACCCCGTCCGTCCCCGAGCCCGAAAAGCCCCCTAAACCCTTTGTCCCTAAACCCCAAACCCTAAAAGCCCCCTAAACCCTTTGTCCCTCAACCATCCTAAACTTCTGAAAACACGAATCTGCAGCTTTTTGCAGCCACATCCGAGAGCCCATCTCTGCGATGCCTTCTTGGGGGAACGGGCTCCTTCCCCTTCTTTTCAGGCCAAGGGCTTCGGGGCTCTAGGGGGTTTTTATGTGTTTCTATGGGGTTTGTGGCTTGGGGTTAAGGGCTTTTTTTTGTGGGGTTTAGGGTTCAGCTATGAGTTTTAATCAGGATGTAGGGTTTATAGTCGGTTTGGGTTTAGGGAGGATTTAAATGTCTGAGGCAGCTTAGGGTTCACGGTTTCGTGGCTGGGGGAACTTCGTCTTTTGCTCGTCAGCGCCTTAGAGTTGAAGGTGGATGGGTTTGGGCTAAAACCGCTTGAAGTAATCGCTTACCTAGGAATTGGGGCTGGGGCGCTGCGCCGCACAATGACCGTGCCTAGGACTTGTGTGTGTGTGTGTGTCTGTGTGTCTGTGTGTCTGTGTGTCCGTGTGTGTGTGTGTGTGTCTGTGTGTCTGTGTGTCCGTGTGTGTGTGTGTGTGTTTGTGTGTGTGTGTGTGGAGAGGCTTAGGTCTGTCCGTCCGTCCGTCCGTCTGTCTAGGCCTCTGGTTTAGGAGATGAGTTGCGGATGAAATGTCTTGAGTCATGCCTCCGCAAGGTCAAACTGCCTTCAAGGGATGCAACTCATGTCAAAAAGTACCCTGCTTGAGCTCATCTGAATTCCAAACCTGACTGAGCATAGACCGCCTTGCCCATTACTTCCCCGCAAGTAAGTAAGTCGCCACTTTCTGCTGACAGGACGGGGGCTACAGTTCTGCATCCCAAGTGTGGAGCTTCTGGGAAGCACACAGTCTTTTGTTATATAACGTGTATATGCAGAAAGAAATAAACATCATATATATATATACATACATATATATGTATATCTCTACACTATGATTGTATTGAAGTGTCTCACACAGTTGTTTTGTATATGTTCGATCATGTGCGATCTTATTTCAACCACTGTGACGGGGCCTCTTGTCCGGGTTTCACCTGCCGTCGACCTTAGGGCTGAAGTGCTATGTGATGCTCTGTGATGCTCTTTGGGGTTTAGGGTTTAGGGTTTAGGGTGGCGAGGTACAAGAATACAAAGCCGTCATGATCATCTTTGATCACCACTACCACGAGTATCATAGCTAGTTGCTATTCTTGTGATTGTTCCTCTTGCACACCTATGCTCATGATGGCGATCACTGGAGGGTTTGCTATTGAAGAGTCCTCGGTCTTTCCGAAGCCCTCTCTAGCGGATGTGTTATGCTCGACGTTGATGGGCATGCTTGAGCGAGCAGCTCACTTCTTGTTCTTCTTCTTTCGCTTCTTTTTGGCGTCCTGAAGGAGAACTGTCTGATCCCCTCCACAGTCCTTAAACCCTAAACCCTAAACTCCAAAGTTTCTCAACCCCAAACCCTAAACCCCCACAGTCGTGCAAAGCTAGTGGGCTTGGGCTTCGAGGCCCCGGGCTTCGTGTGGTTACTGGTTCCGGGTATTTAAGAAGTTCGGGGATTAGGGTTCAAAAGTTTAGGGCCAAGTTTAGGGAGTTCGTGAAATTTGGTACTGAGAGCGTAGGACTTGTCCAAGATCACGGAAGACAGTCGCAATCAGCCGTCGGCAGGGGTACCAGGTCCCTGGCCAGCTCTAAAAGCCCACGTCCTAAAACACACCCTGGATCCTATTGGCAATCTCGCCGTTCCGATCACGAAGGAAAGCTCCGTGAGGTGATTGCCCGTCCGCCTCCCGAGAAAATGTGGCAACTAGACCCACCCGAACGTACAACGCGCGTCTTTTGTCGTACCCCTCCTCGTGGCAACGCGATGGCTGTGCTCATGGCATGTGCGAAAACCCGTCATCTTTGCAAAGATAACTTCGTCTCGGGTGCAATGTTGGCTAACTACCTTTTGGGAACTGTACTATGACATGGAAGCTGCAATTCCGGGATGCTACCTTGACGGATTCGCAGCATCCTCGCTGAAAGTGATTTGACTGAATGCCTTCAGAAATTGATGTCCCAAGCGCTAAACCCTTTTTTGCATCCAGGACTCTGTTTAGCGCTGAACCCTAAAACCTATAAGCCCTGAGACGAGCCCAGACATGGTGTGGGAGTAGCAGACGCTCTCGTCTCCCTCCCTTGGTCTGAGTCGCCGAAGTCTATTCCAGCCGTGTGCAACAATGCGGGTAGTTCTCTGAATTAGGGGGACCTCCCTTTAGGGTCTTTTTTGCAAGGGTGCCGTACATTTGGGACCCAAAAGGACCCTAATTCAGAGAACTACCCATTTGAAAAAAGGTAGGCCTCATCCTGCAGCGCAAACCCATCTTCGGCCCCGGCCAGCAGAAGCAGGCTCGAGCTTCTTTCAAAAAGGCTGTGGGTTGTCTTTCATATCCATGAGTAGTAAGTAGTAGTATCAGCTCAGGGTCTCCATATAACCTACTGTGACATATCACTCCACTACAATAGTCTTTGAGTATGACCTTTCACTATACTAGAGTATACCTCGAAACCAGCTCTCGGTCTTCTAAGTGCTGGCCCCAACGGCCTTCGAAGAAGTGCCAACAGAGGATCGGCGCGAGTGTTAAGGGGAGCCAAGGGCCTACGGGTGGGGTGAAGGTGGGGGGCTGATCCCCCAAAGCAATCCTAAACCCTAAACCCTAACTAAATCGTAATCCTGAACCCTGAACACTGATCCAATGCTGGGATCCCTACTCCTAACTACTACCTGCATCCTACCCCTATAGGCCCCAGAGAAGGGCATCTTCCGGAGGCAGGCACTAGGCCGAAAGTCTGTGCCCGTCGCCAGGCATAGGGTAGATGCTCTAGCACAATACACTATATGAGTGCAGCCTATGGTTATACCTTCAAACCGCACCCGGCACGCTAACAGTGAGCACAATCAGGGGCACAATGAACTGCACCAGGAATTACACGAATTTGCAGCCAAGATTTGAAGATGTGTCTCGACATCTATCCTTACAGAATGATCATACTCTTGAAATTGGTTCTGCTCGGCGCGGTATCCCCGAAGCAACCAATAGCATCCATAGGCCTGCACGCGGGAAACATGTAGACTAAAAAACTGAATCCATCTCAGCAGGATGCATGCTGATCAGGTTTGCCTTGATTTGCCTGAGATTGGCTCTGCTCGGTGTGGTATCCCTAGCCTGCTGCCGCCATTCCAGCACGACCACTTGAAAATCCAGTCCCTGGGCAGTTTGGACACAGTGCTGGGCCGTTTGTGCAGCTCTGTGTTGAGGGGCGTTTCTGTGCGGCTTTGTTGAAGCTCCCTGCTGGCGGAGCAGACGCCGTCCGCATCCGGCAACTGTTGACTTGGTTTCGATTCTTCCCACTGCCTCACGTGAACTTTTTGAGTTTGAGTACATTTTTCCTTGTGTTTTTTCCTTTGTGCTCTGTTCTTGGAAATAGGAACAAACATTGTGCTACTTCTGGTGCAAGATTTTGTGCTAAACCGTAAACCCTAAAACTTATGTTTTTACCTTAAACCGTAAACCCTAAACTCTTTTTTACCCTAAGCCGCAAACCCTAAACCCTAAACCGAGAAGCTTGAAGGAGTCGACATCGGGAGAACTTTGGGGTTTAGCCTAACTAGGCCCTTTAGGGTTGGGGTGTTTAAAGCTAAACCCTAAACCCATAAATAGGCCACGGTCTGAGGAGTCCTCCGTCTCTTCGGCCTTTTCACCGGTCTTCTCCTCACCCTGGCGGCAGTAGCCAGGATTCAAAGACCAGAATGACTCGACGTCGCGGGTTTCGGGTTTAGGGTTCAGGGCTTTGGAGAGGTTGATAATCAAGCCGTGGGAATGATTTAGAGTTGCTGTCAGATGTGCAAAATATTGCAGGCACATGCCGGATGCCTCCGGACACCCCAGAAGATGTGGCATCACGGAGCGGACTCAAAACGACTCACCCTTGGTTCTAAGCACCTAAGCAAAGCCAGTCCACCTCAAACACATCCCAAACCCTTAACCCTTCCGGCATACATAAAATCGATCTCGGATGATGAATCACTCGCCCCAATTTGTACACACCCCTAATAATGACAACACTTCGCGGGAAATGCCCCGAAAATCATCGCCGCCTTTCAAATATCATGTTGAACTGTGGGTTCAGGAGCAAGAGGAAGAGCCGGAGCAAGAGCAAGAGCCGCAGTGGCAGCAGCAGCAACAACAAGAGCCGGAGCAGGATTAAGAGACAAATCACCGCGAGTCAAAAAATCCACCGTAATGATCAAACACGTTTCCAGGACCATTAGGGGGAAGGGATTAAAGCAACTAGCTCCAGCAAGGAACGGGCACACAAATATTCAGACACCGACAACCCTGGCTGGACCGTATGCGCTGAAATCCGCAAGCCTCACTGAAGGAACAAACTTGCTAACACTGGCTAACTGTGTGCTACAACTCCTTCAATCGCCAACATACCCAAAACATCCTCACACACGCTCTACTGCTGATCCACCGGACAACCAGTTACCTCTAAGGCCCTCTTGTCGCAGTGTTGGTTCGCAGGTCTAGCGAATCCAACACCAATCGATTGATATTGTTGTGCTTGGCCGGTCCCGACTGTTTTCCTTAAGCGCCTCACAGCGATCACACTCCTCCCCTAAAATCCTAACCTTCTAGTACTATTGGGGCTTCATTATTTCAATACGCCTTATGGGCCGAAGATAGTTGAAGGATACCCTAAATAGGAAGACTCTGGCCATACGGACCACGAAATAAGACACTTGAGGCACTCCCAATTTCCAACAGATCATTTTAATTCTACTTCTTCCGCCTTTTAAAATCCTGTCTACAAAGTCTATATGTACCTCCCAAAGCCCCATCAGATCCTTACGGAGTGGTACATCAAAAACCTTTATACAAACCTCCACAAACATCCGTGTTTTCATGTTCGAAACCTTCCAGATCTCCCTTTGCGCGAACGCAACGGCTCTGAGGCGCCTTCTCCTCTTCCTTTGAGGGCTCCTCGGCCTTCCATGTACCCAAAATATAGGGTTCCTTTAAAGGGGCTCCTTTAAGGGTTCCATAAGGGGTAACATAGGGGCATAGGGGTTTAGGGATATTCCACCAATCACCGGCGGAGGTTCAGGTAAGAGCTTTAGTACTTAGAATACGGTTCGGGATATAGCCCACGATAGTTGCACAAGGGACAGTCATGTGAGTCTACCATAAATCCGCCGAGTCGTCCAGGCGTCTAGTCGTCCAGGTGTCTAGATTTAGTATCCACCCATCCTCTCAATTTTCCTTCTCGGACATTTTGTGGTGGTGGCGAATTGTGGACAGGCGTTATTGGGTTTTTGCCATTTATTAGGTCAATTTAAGTCACCAATCTCGGCCACAATTCTGACAGATAACCAGATTCCCTATCAGACCGCCCAAGTGGACCCAAAAGTCAGCTAGGGTTTACAGGGTATAGAAGCAAAAGGGGGTATGCAAGGACGCTAGTGGAATGCGACCCTAACAAAAAAAGTTGATAACTCCAAAATGAGTTCGGGGGCATTCTTGCTCAGCGGGGTCCAGCACTCCTTTGGCTCCTTCGCTCCCACGGGCACGCTTGCATTTCCTAAACCCTGTAATCTCTAACCCTTAAGCCCTGCAAGGGAGGGCGCAGCCCAAAAGGGACCTCAGCTCCTTGCAGCAAACTTACTAGGGCCCCAGAAAAGCAGATAAGCACAATTTAGGATAGGAACATCCCATAATCAACCCCCCTGTAAATAAAGCCCAATAATGTGGGGATATCCCAAAAAAAAGGCTTATGCCTATGCTTTTGTCCCTAATATACTGATCTTGGAATGAGCATGCAGGATCCTCGGCTGTAATATTCAAGGGACACGTACATAAGCAGTTCTGATCCCCTGAATATCATTTGACGGTCCGGATCTCATTACAAGAACACTGAAAAGGCTGTCCCTAGCACTAGATTGAATATGCGTTCCCACATACTATAGGCGCCTTAATCATTGGAGCAGTGTTTTGGAGTATGTTATAGTCCAACTATACGAAGGAGCCCGAAGTAATATTGTTGGTAATGCCTTGGGCTTCTGTTTTATCACAATGCCACCGTCGGAGTCCAGAAATCCACAGCCCAACCCCGAAGTATGGGAGGGCCCTGGGCTCAAACATGCTAAGTCTACCAGCATCTTGGACCAAGTGAAGCGTAAGGTTTGAGGGTTTAGGGGTTAGGGTGTAGGGCTTAGGGGTTTAGGGCTTAGGACTAGCACTCAGGAGGCAGCACCTTTTCAGCTTCGGCGGCCTCCTTCTCCTTTGCCTCGCCCCATGTCATGTGACAGTTGTCACCTAAAATATTCGGGCCTTATTTAGGGGCCTGAACAACTACAACACGGTTCTGGGGTATAGTATAGCTCTTGAGCTGCTTTACTTAAATAGGGGCTGTAAGGATGAACATGTTCAACCCCTTAACTATCCAGGCACGACACAAGAGAGCCGCGGCAGGTTAGTGTTGCACTCCCGCGGCCGTTCGAGCTGGACTTTCAGGCTTTCGGTTTCGGGTTCGTGCATATTTTTAGGTTTTGGCTTTTTGTTTGAGCTCCTTTTTGCCTCTGCCCCATCCTGTAGTGCGAGCTGCGGTGGGTTAGGGTTTAGGGCTAGGGTTTCTACATATTCAGGGTTTGCTGTAGGGTTTAGGCTATTTGTACGGGCATTTAAGCTTGGGGGGAATCCTTCGCAGCGCATTCTTCACGGGAAAGCACCACACCGCAACGAGTCCCAATCAATACCAAGAAAACCTCGATGAGGATGACTCACCATGATATTAAGATATTAATGATGACGATTGTTGGTGCTGATGGTGCTACAGCAAAGCAGTATGAGCACAACCATACGGCGAACAATGCCTCCTTCTCCTTCTCCTTGCTCTTCTTCTTGCCTGCACAGCAGGACAGCACTCCACTCTTCGGATTTCGGCTGGGTCTTGGCGTGCAGGCTGTTGGCGCCGTGCAAAAGCTTCTGACATACCTGTAAAGAGCTGGAGATGAGGGAACCCGAAACCAGCCAAAGGCATACCGCAACACCTTCACCTAAAGCTGAAGCAACGAAGGACGAGACCTAAAGGTGTGTAGACTCACACCAGTCTTCTGGCACTTTTCCCACATGGCATAACTTATCAAGAGTTTAGGGCGTTTAGCGGGTTGGTTCAGGTCGGCAGCAGCTCTTGGCTTCCTTTGGACTCTCGCAACTCAGACAACGCAACCTCGCTTTTAGGGATATTGTCGGACTCCTTAATCAACAGCCCTAACCCGAAACCCTGTGCTCTGAAAAACTTCCAGAACCGAATAAACACTAAATTTTAGCGCCAGGCGGAGTATCAAACCGGAATTCTCGACACTTCAATCTACCATAGAGGCCTTGACCAGCAAACTCAAAAGTTGACCAGGCCCATGGATGACATATGACCACAACACGCCAACCCCGTGCCTTCCGACCAGAGCCGGAAGGCACATTGAAGAGAATGTCAATGTCGCCATGACTGTGTACAGTTCAGGGTTCAGGGGTATGGAGCTTCACACTCGTCAATGCCAACCTCGCGCAATCAAACTTTTGAAAGTCTCTCATACACTCTAAACCCTAAAGCCTTAACCCTAAACTCTAAAGCATAAGCTTCCACACACTCCACCAACCTTACTCCCTGAACGTCTGACTCCCCCACTCTCAGAGAAGAACCCACCACACGAACTCCGACACCCCTAAACCCTTATCAAACCCTTAGTCCCCAACAAAAAAGCGACGTCAAAGCCTAGCTACGGGAACCCCTAAGACATGCTGCTAATGAAGCTCAATGGTTTAGCTTGTATTAGTCTTGTATTAGTCTCGGTTCTAGGGTTAACCCTACACCTAAATCGTAAACCCTAAACATCTCTAAACCCTAAACCCCAAGCCCTAAACCCCTAAACCCTAAACCCCTAAACCCTAAACCCTAAACCCCCCCCCAAAACCCTATCCCCTAAAACTCGGAACTCGAAAGGGACTGCTGGCCTTTACTGGCCTCCTGCTTCTCCAGGCCCGCTCGGAGCCTTGGCGTATTTTAGGCACCCGCCCCGCTCAGGGCCTTGGGATTATGGGTTTAAGGAAGGATTAGGAATGATTAGGGTTTAGTGTCATTTAGGGCTTAAGAGGTTTAGGGGTTAGGGTTTAGGATGGTTTACGGCTTAGGGTTTAAGTTGTTTTTAGGGGTTCGGGTTTAGGGGGTTGGGTGTTTAGGGGTACAGTTAGGGTTGAGGAAGGTTTTGGGTTTGGGGTGAGGATTTAGGATGGTTTCGACTCTCACTCTCGCACAAGGCAGGCAAGGCTCAAGCATGATGACTCCACGCATGCAAGGGTTGCACCGAAACCACTGGGATGGTTTAGGGTTTAGGGGTTTCGCCAGTCGTAGATACTGTAGGGTTGAGGGCTTGCAGCAGCAACAAAGAAGAAGAAACCACGTGAGCATCAAATTGTGCATGCCCCGCACCAACTAACAGATGAGCTTCTGTGTGTTTAAGTGTGCATATGTCTTTATGTATATACGTATATATATATATATTCGTACATCTCTCTCTGACACATACACACACATATCATATATGTATATATATATACATGTGCATACATACGTACATACAAATACATACATAGATACATAGGGAAAGAGGCGAATGTTTGGGGGGATGGGATGTTTGGGAGATTGTTTCTGCCGCCTGGGCCGCCAGGCGAGGTCAGGCGAAGAGCTGCAAGGATTGACAGACATTGGGTTTGGGGTTTAGGGTTTAGGGAGACATTAAGATCCAAAGCCCTAAACCCTAAAGCCGATGTCATCGGTTTTCGGTGGGGCTTAGGGTTTAGGGGTGATCTCTAGACTCTAAACTCGAACCCTAAGCCCTAAACTGCAGGAGGTTTGGGCTCGGGACTTTCAAAGGTTCATATCTGACAGAGCCGAACGGAGAAGACCTCCACTGTAGGGGCCTTCTTCATTGGCGTGGGTAGGGTTTTAGAGCCAGTTATGAATAGTGTTAGTCTAATCTATAGGGGACGATAGCAGCCACCGCCTGGCGGCATTATTCTGAGTTTTTTCTGGTTATGATGATTATTAGAAACGATCATTGCTAGTAGTAGTCGTCGTCGTCATAGCAATGTTAGGTATCAATATCACTATTATTGCTGGTGCTGCTGCGTCTTCTTCTTCGTCCGGCCCGTGTATTGCATGCTTCGTAGGACGGTGCCATGGCTTGCAGTGCTGCGTATCAAGCCGTAAAGGAACCAAAAGCACATTCCAGTGCCTGTGCCTGCTAAGCAGCTAAACCCTAAATCCCAAAGCCCTAAAAGCCCAAATCCGTAAACCCTAAAACCACCCTAAAACCCTAAACCCTCGCACGAGCATCGGTTTCAGCAGATGGACTGTAGCATGCTTCAAGCCTGTAGGCTAAGCGTGACAGCAAAGCACCAGAAATCCGAACAGCTCGAAACCGGAGCCAGAATGTCTGACTCACCCACAACCCCCTCATCTTGACACTTGCTCGCTCATAATATGTGACTAGAGAGTGCAAGCCCTTCGCCAATGGCTTTTTCAACGACCTTCATCCCAGCTCTCTGCTACTTGCAGTCGAGGGGCGTCTTCCTCATGTCGTATGCATCCTCCTTGTCTGCATAGTACTTCTCCTCTATGTCTTGAATTTCGAAGCCCAAGGTCTCCGAATACAGGGAGAAGGCTGCTCTGTTGGTATAGCGGACCTGGACGAAATCATCCAACGCGGGGACAGCTGTTGACTTTGCATCAGGTTACAAGCGGGCTAGACGTCATGTGCGTACGCTGTGGTGAGGCGATAGGCTTGGGATCGTGTATAATGCAATATGGGGGCCTTATGGCTGGAATGAGAGGGACTGGCATTCGCAACTATTCACGCGCCTATGTTGCAGGATTACTCTGCCATAGGACTCTAACTCGTATGACCCCAGGAACACGATGATGCTAAAGCCTATCCCGACGGTTTATTCCCTGAAGTCTTTAGGGTGTCGAATTTAGAAGCACCAACCAATACAACAAGAATATGCGACATTATTTCACATACATATATATAAACAAATAAACAAATAAATAAATAAATATATATATATATAGATATGTACTACTATATACATATACACATGTGCATGAATGGTTATTAATATAGTTGGTAGCCAGATCTCGATAGATCGATAGATAGTTAGATAGATAGATAGATAGATAGATGGATAGATGGTTAGATAGCAGGATAGACCGATAGATAGATAGATAGATAGATAGATCGATCGATAGGTAGATAGATCAAGCTGCTTGGAATCGCAAGCTTTCCCTTTGGCTCATGAGACGAAGAGGGCTTCGGCCCAAAGTCGACTCTACGACGTTCGAACGTCGACGATGTCGACGGTTCGGGCTTAGGTCTTCAGGGGTTTAGGGGTTCAGGGTTTAGGGTTCAGGGTCTAGGCTCAAGGTTGCGCCAAGATTTTTTTTAATACAGGGCAAAAAAGGACTTAGCATCATGAGCCGTCAATACAGGACTCTCTGAGTTCAGAAGCCTGAAACAGTTCAACCTAACGTCAGATTTCGATTGGTGCGAGGATTCCATATAATTTTGATTTGGGCTACACGACAAATAGTTACAATTTTTTCCGGCATACATTTGTTCGCTAGCCGGGCTCCCGCACCTGATTACTGACAGGCTTCAAGGGCCCATTGCAAGATATTGCGCGGCTTGTGGATGAGGCCTGCCTATCCCTTACTAATCCTCTTATGCGGGGAGACACCGTAAATGCCCCAAGGCTGGACATCTCGTTGCCTGAGAGCCACCGAATTGCACGTCATGGCAATTCATACATGCCCATGGGCTCCGGCAAAGGTTTGTTGCTCGTTTGCCACTGACAACTGGACTCTGTACCCAGAAACCCTATAGCAAACCATAAAAAGTTGGAAACCGGATTAAGGACAAGTCGTGCTGGGGTTCCCTATACACTACTCTTAAGGCTGGAGGCTATTGGGTTTCCAACTTTTCGGCTTCGACTGTAAACCCTAAATTGCAGTAGGCGAACTCCCGAGCCACCCGAGGCCGAGGCATGAAGGGACACGAACTCTGCGTTAAAGCACTGCTCCATGGTGGCTATGGAGGCCCTGCGCAGAGGTGGATTGTGTTGGGGTGGTTCGTTGCTGCTTGGAACATCCACTGCAATCCTGGGTTGTGACCCTGGGTTGAGGGCCTTCGAATGAACTTAGGCAGGCTCCCTCCGCTTGGAAAACGCTAAGGCTGCAGAGCTGTAGGGTTAAGGGTTTTAGAGTAGGGCTTTTGGGATTTAGGGTTGTGGTACTAGGATTGAGGGATTTTTGGTTTAGCTTAGAAAAACAGCCCTGCCTTGAATCCACGTCACGCCCACAAACCAAAAAGAATCGATTTCAACAGAGAGCCATGCTAACCGCATCAGGCCTCAAAACATTGAAACCGAAAATCCTGACATTCCAAGACTTCAAAGCAGGTTCCCTGGTCTTTGATGCCACACTTATACAGATGTATGGTCCACTGTAAGCGTTGCAGCGCTGCCTCATTAGGGCTGTGGCAATCCCAAGTCGGCGGTAGCCTTGGCTGTTGGGCGTGGGGGGTTCACGTGCTCAGGGTTGAGGATTCTTACACTCGGACACTCCAGGCGAGGCGTGCGGTTCGCGGTCTGCTTGAGTGAGACATGCTGTTGATTTGGAGATTACGGCCACAGGGAAAACACTCAACCATAAGTCTACAACCTGCTAAAACATAGGGTCTTCTCTCCCTGACCCAGTGTCATCAACGGTAAACAATACTTATGGATCTCAGGCACTACCATCGCATTTGCAGTGTTTAGGGTTTAAGTAGAGCTTAGGAATCATGGTTCTAGGGTTTCGAGTCCGGGATTCTCTCAAGAGAACCGCTGGTGTCCAAGAGCCAATTGCATATCAGCTCACTCAGTAAGCTGTTGTCGGGATGAGCTGTTCCAGAGCACAACTACAAAACATGCTGCACAGTCCACAGTTCAGCCCTGGCTATATCCGCTGATGCATGCACGCAAGTACTCACATATTGCAACAGAGCAAAGCGAAGCGATAATGCATGAACTAGAAGGCTGCCGGTTGCAGTCTTTCCGCCTCCCTTTGCCCTTGATCCATCAGCCCCTAACCTAGGCTCTAGGAGACCCCTGATAGAGACCCCGATTATATTCTGAATGTCGGTAAAAAAGAAACCCTATAAAAACCTGAGCAAGTCCTCAACCCGAAGCACCACATTTAGACCCTGGCTTCGCATGACCGCGAGGGAGGTGATGTGGCCGTGGACTTCATCCGTGTCCTTTGGGTTTAGGGTTTTAGGATTTAATTCTGGCGTACCGTCTAAGGTTTAGGTGCTTCTGTTGACTTGGCGAGTACAGTATTGGACTGAGGTGTTTAGATTCGGGGTTACCTCTCCATGGCTGTGATTACAACGACTACAAGTAGAAGTCAACGGTGAGTGCGGTAATTTGCGCTACGAAAGGGGCTTTGCTTTTGCAAACATCTGGGTCTCTGTGCACTAGAGTTTTGTGCTACTTTCACGCTTGGTGCAATAAATATATCTTCCTTCATCCTCCGCAACCTGTGCTCGAGCATTCCCTGACGCCTTGGTATGCACTTAGCCCTTAAACCGGAAAGATCTTCCTCTCTCTCTCTCTCTCTCACAGGTACTCGAAGTGATCTTCCTAAACCCTAAATCCTAAACCCAACAGTTTTGGGTTCGGGTTTTGCAAACCCGCCCGAAAAGCCTGGAAACTCAGAACCTGCTTTGCCTCCTCCATCTTGGCAAGGACGTAGCCAACGATTCGGTTCTGGCTATCCACCTTAGGAGTTGGGGATTCGAGTGCTCATCGAACGAGGGTTGCTAGGGGTGATAGGGTTTTGAGTCTGCTGTCCTTGGTTTCTTTTGTTGAAGCTGCTTTAGTGTTGGAGCCGTGTTCTTCGCTAGCAGGCCAGGCTTATCTTCCCATCACTCGTCGACAGCGTCGCAGTCACTAGCATCAGCATGACCGTTAAGATCAGAAATTGGCATCAATGCCAGCGGCAATGCTCGCCGTCTCCTGTATCAACATCGAGGTCACTTCGATGCGAAGACAGGGCGTTATGTTATGACTCGAGGATTCGTTGGGGCGTTACTGTAATAGTTGGAGAGGGGTTTTTTGGTCAATCACATAATCGTGCGTTTAGATCAGGGAACTCTGAAGAATAGTATTGGTCATCCTTGAGGACCGAAATCGTAACAATGTCTTTAGGATGTCCAAGACAAGACATGAAGAATGAGAAGGAAAATGCTCCCTCGAGAGGTCAACATTCAGAGACTAACCCCTGGCTGCCCAGCTCACCGTGGGGGGTTTAGGGTTTAGGGAACCTTCCTCGCAATCCTCCCGGTGCCCACAACTTCAGCAATATGTACCGAATCCCCGCTTAGGTTGCTTCGTGTACACGGGACACCCAACATAGATGCCTACATGAGGGGGTCCTTACTATAAAGGCGCCGCATCGATCATGCACTGAGAACTCCTCGATGTCTGAAACTCCCGGTTTTTCCAACTCCCTGCGCTCTGAAATACCAAGTTTTGCCTTGTTGAGGCCGCGGCTGCTACCTGTGGCAACTGCGGCCACGACAGGGCGTGGTAGAGGTAATACTTCCTGAGCTCCAGGGCCCTAAACCCTAAACTCTAAACCCAAAGCTTTTGACCCAAAACCCTAGACCTTAAACCTCAAAAAGAGGGCTTCGACTCAGCTTGGGCGAGGCTTCGGCTCAGCTTCTGGCACCACAGTCATGCCATTTAGCCGTTCTTTTTGGGGATACCTGGGTTCCACCTCAAAGAAGGCTGTAGATCCTAAATTTATATATGAGACCTGAGTGCATCGTAGGCTCATCTGGTAGTTCTCGGGTAGGCAGCAAAGATTGCCTCAGCTCTTCCAGGCTGCGGAACCCTGTAAGCAAGGAGTCGGAACATCTCGATCCTCAGCACCTGCTATCTTTAATTAATAGGGGGCATAATTAATTCCAACAAGCAAGCCTAATAAGGAATAGAACTGGTCCTTGTTCCGACCTACTATAGGATTGCGGGTGGTGTCGAGCCGGAGTTTAGGAATCATGGCTGCCATCGTGGACTTTTTGCAGGCGCGCTTTAGTCAAAAGTCTGAGGCTGGCACATGCCTGCATACCAGGTAAGTCATCGATCGTCGCTGGGCGGATCGAGACCATTCTATCTGCATGTCCCCCACAAAAATCAACGTTCTAAATGCTGAAATGGCGGCAGGCGAAAGAAGTGAGTTCAAAAAAATCAAGATGAACCACAATTCGCTGACAACCTCAACCAAAAAACACCAACAAGCATAGAGACGCGCAGTAGTGAGCGTAACAACACCAACAAGCACCATATGGTGGTTGTGTGTGATTTTGGTGAATTGTGGCTGCACGGGCTGTCACTGGAAAACCATACCATAGGTTCATAGACAAAGGTACTTGGATACTCCAACACAAGACGGTTCACAATGATACCACCCAGAACCGTGGTAGTAGCAGTGGTGGTAGTAGTAGTAGTAGTAGTAGGAGTAGGAGTAGTAGTAGTAGTAGTAGTAGTAATAATAATAATAATAATATAATAGCAATGGTACTCGCAACTCTTGGTGATAGTTGTGGCTGCAAACAATCCTGAGATTCGCAACCAGCAGAAGACATCGGGCCCCGCCTGGCTCTGATGGCACCGGGCTGTTAACGTTCAGACACGGGGTCTAGGAGTGCATAGATAGCTTAGGGTTTAGGGTCATCACTCGGACAATCCAGGCGAGGCAGGGTCGTGGGTTTAGCGTCTGGTTTTGAAAGTTTCAGGTGCCAATGTACAGATTTCCAGGATTTTCGTCCCCCTCAAACCTCTTCGGGTTTCCACAGGGTTTCGACTCGCGCCCTGGCTGAATGCACAGGGTTTAATTAAGCCTCCGAGGTTTGAGGCTTCAGTTTAGGAATGGGTGCTCGGTAACTTTTCAAGAAGTCTTTAAGTGAGGTTTAGGCCTTGGACATGGAGGTTGATGCCTTACCCAGCTTTACGCTGCTTAACATGCTGACCCCAGGAGTTGGAGGTTGAAGCTGACTCAAAGAAGTTCGAAACTTGGGTGTGCTTCCCGGATACTCCCAACAAAGCAAAAGACCTTTAACCGAAAGCCCTGCAACCCTGAAGCCTGAACCAGGAAGAGGGCCTGAATTTAGAACGACCCCCAGGTGCAAAGCAACGTCAGGCGCACGGAGTCGCTTTTAAGGCTTTTTCTGCAAGCCGATGGTTGCCATGAGGGCCATGTCTGAACCCCAGGCTGAAGTACGTTGGGCTTCAGGCTTCGTGTTCAGTGGGGATGGTTGTTGGTTCATGATCTCGGGTCCATTGTTTCAGTGTTGCCGATGCCGTGCAAACGGATGACGCAAGGAGCACGCAAAGTTGAGCAATTCTAGATGCTCCTCACATATGAGAACAAACCATACATGCCAGCCCTTGACCCGTGATCAAAACACTCATGCAAAGCATACGAACTGTAATTACATTCAAGTCTGAACCGCTCCGCAATCGTGGAAACTCATATCCGCACCCGTTCCTGGCATAAGTCTACATCATCATCATATCCCCTCCAAGTCCCAGCCTAAGTCTCTGCACCACAACACCCCAAGTATTCGAATGATGCCCTCTACAGCGCCAGATCCGAAAGTCCCAAGACAACCCCGAACCCTACCAGCAAAGTGCCCCTTAAGGGCTTAGGGGTCAGTAGTTCCTTTAAGACGGGGTGCCCCCATATACGCAAAGCCATACAGTTACAGGATGATGGGTTTAGGGTTTATACGTTTGGGATTCTCTGGGCAGCAGCTTCTCAGCAAAACAGTAGGGAAAAGGGAAGTAGAGTTGTTGGCAAGGCCATCAGGATTCCGACTCTAGTGGGCTTCCAATACAGCTGAGGACGATGATATTTCGTGGGCTGCTGTGCATTATTGGGACGTTTGGGACAGCATTAAAGTCGCACCGCAATAAACCGTTTGCTAGAGGCTTCACCATGGGTCAATGTCAATGGCTACTGCACTCTGTGTGCTGATAGGGGGGTTAGTGTGGGCTGCTCTCATCACTCAGGATTCACAAAGTATTGCTCCCACTCACCGTAAGTGGAGGCGCCGCTCACCACCTGCGGCGCTGGTGAAGCTTTCTATGCAAGGTTTCGTAAATTGCCGTGAAAGGAACTCGTGAGACTGGAGCAGGTAAAAAAAAAGTCTTGGGCTGAGGGTTTTTAAGGTTCAGGGGTTAAGGGTCTTACGAGTGCTCCCCTACTAAGGCACTGTGATGTAAGGGTGTGACCCATTATTCGCCCAACAGGCATCTCGTCGGAACCCTACTCCCTGAACTCCGAACATCCCAACACACCTAGCCGTAAACCGAAGTTCGAACCTAAAACGATCTAGGAGTTCGACTCACACACTCGCTCAAGGCAGTCTAGGGTTTAGGGTTGAGGGCTTCCAACAAACCCAACAAGGTCCTCCGGATCGGGTTGCCGAGCTATACATTGCCACACGGCACGAACATCTACAGCGCTTGGGTCCAGCATCTAGGTTGTGCATACGAGCCATGCGGGTGATCAAAGCAGAGCTGAAATGCACGAAACACGAACATCAGTAAAGAACAGTAATTAAGAAAGCTGCAAGGGCTCAGTCCGGATTCTGCGACTGAGCCCTAAACCGTGATCATTGAGCAATCACTACAAGCCCCTTAAAACCTGCCTTCTTCACGCCGGCGAGCCCCGCGATCCTCGAGTAGAACTCGCCCAGCTTTGGCGTGGCGGAGAAGAGCTCCTTCAGGTGGGGCAGGGGAGGTTTCCCTCTTTAGGGCTCCTGAAAAAGCATTCAGAAGAGATCAGGTTTGAGTTTTTAAAGTCTCGAGCCGAGGGGCCGTGGCAGTGGTTTTATCGGGTGGCAGAGAGTTGTAGACTAGGCATTCCGGAAGACTTACTGATGCCTAGAAGGGTATAGGGACTGACTACTATCGGGGAGTCTATAGGGACTCCCTGAACCCTAGTATAAACTCTAAACCCCTCTCTCTCTCTCTCTCTCTCTCTCCCCCTCTCTACCCTAAACCCCTAAACCCAGAACCGGTCTAGGGATCCAATACACTCCCCTAATAAGCACCAGTAAAGAGAAAGCTCTTGAGGCTCCTCTAAAGGCGCAACCTCAGGGTTAAAAATTAAACCTGTACCAAAAGCCTTCAACAGCAAATCCTGGACCCCCATCAGCCCGAATCTCTATCAACTCGAAAGGCCTTCTTCCGAACCCCCGACTCGGATCACCTAACAACCCTAAGCCCACACAACCCCCCAAACCGTAACTCAACCCTAAACCCTAAACCCTTAAGCCTAAAGTGCCTAACCCCCAAAGCCTAAGGCCTAAAGCCCTATAAACCCCTAAACCCTAACTCAACCCATCGGGCTCCGACTTGCAAAGCTTCATTTGGTGGAGCATCGCCCATAGGTAAAGCTCTCCAACCTCGGGATGCATCTCTCAAGGGGCATCGGGACCAAGTGGCTGGCGGTCTAGGGCTTTAGGGTGTTTAGGGTATGTATCTATAATGTGTATATATATATATAATAAACAAACACTGAATAAACACACATATACATATACACATACAACACAAAGGGTTTTGGGCTTTAGACTTCAGGGCTTTGTGCCTGAACGTGTCGGGTGTCCGCTTTCGGGATTATGTTTTTTTTGTCCGGGAGCTTAGGAAAAAACGTGAGTTTGGGGTTTCGGGTTTGCAAGACTCGCTAAGGCTTCGAACGAAGCTCTTCTAGGATCCACTTAAACAATTTTGACTACTAAGTCCCAAACCCTAAATAAAGGGCCACACCACCGTCTTAGAGCCAAGCTCGGAGAGGCTGAATTCTGGGACCCAAATCCGAACATACGGCGAGCGGAACTTGTATTTCAGGTCCCTGTGTGGGAGTTCTTTTATCCGAAGTCCTGCTAGTTCAGGGCTACAATAGTGGAATTGTTGATTCTCGGATGTCCAGTATCTCAGTATCCCTAACCTGCACCCAATAGTCAGTCTCCCACACATAGAGCTCTAACCTGAGAAGCTACAGCACTTCTGAAAAAGAAATGCATCCAAAGCATACGAAACATAGCAATGCGCTTCATGGTCGTGGTGCTACGCCGCTGCAACTACTCCTGCTGCTGCAGCTTCTGCCACTCCTACCACTACATTCAGCATCACCGCTGCGACTACTGCGACGACATGGCAACGCTAATCATTTTTCCGACGATAAACGGCACCTTCGAGCCCCTGCAAAGAAACGCCTGCCACATTGTGCAACCGGGAGACTGTTTCTCCCTTTGCTGTGAACTGGTTCTTTCCTTTCAGCAATGTCTCCAGCTTCTGCAGCTGGTCAGGCACCCACTCCTGGATCGGCCACGATCGCAACTATAATTGCAACAGTATAGGAACAATAAGAACAGTTGCAACTAAACAATAGTAATCATAAAACAAGAGCGGGTTGTCTTCAGATGCGATCGATTTGTGGATTTCAAGAGCGAAGCTTATTTACCAAAACAGACCTAGCGCCTAAACCCCAAGCCGTTTACCTTTTTTCGGCAGGGACTGAGGTGTCGGGCAGCGCCCATGCAACTCCTAACCCTTCTTTTTGTTTGAGCCGGGACTGCAATGCACTAAGCCCTGAATCCCTTCAGCCAAGCTCCAGAAAGCAAGAGTTCACACGATAAGCTGACCTTAAACCCTGGACCGTAAACCCTAAACCCTAAACCCTACAGCCCTAAACCCTAAACCCTAAACTTATATACAGCCCTACAGCCCCAAAGCCTCAATTACACCTCTTCTCTCAGCCTAAGTCTCCCGGGCCCAAAACGTCGAGTAACATACTATAGGGCCTTTGTAGTTGAGAATAGGGCTTGGGGGCGTGTGTGTATATATATATGCTACCCCCCCCCCCGGGTTATCCACCCGTTGGGGGGTAAAGGAGTGTTGGACCGAATGGTCCGTTTGACGGGCCGCGGTGCGGCGTCTGCGTGGACTCTAGGAACCCCTTGAACGAATCGTA